ATATATATATATATATATATATATACATATGTACGCATATGTATACATATATGTACGCATACATATATGTACGCATATGGATATGTATATTGACGCATACATATGCATATGTATATGTACGCATACATATGCATATGTATATTGACGTATATATATATATACATATATATATATATATATATATATATATAAACTTGATGAGTAGTATTTCGAGCCAAAACGAGCCGAACACGAACGAATACATCTTAGTTCGTGTTCAGCTTGCTAACTTATCGAACGAAATTAATGAGCCGAAAACGAGCTTCTTAACGAGCCAAACACGAGCTGTTCGCGAACAACGAGCCGTTTTGACAGCCCTAATTGTCTGTGTGGAGCATATTGATCTTAACATTAAATTGACTTTTTATCATAGCAATAAAAGTAGGAAGAACTTTTTATCATAACAATAAAAGTAGGAAGAATAAGACTGATAATCGAGTGCAGTATTATTGATGATCATGGGCATTGCCTTGGGAAGGATACCTTTCTTTTGTTGGTTGCAAAGTTAATGTTCTTTGATCTTTTTTTTTAGGTTTGATGTGTATCATAGCCAATGTTGCAGAGATAGTTTTGTCCATTAATTACAGATGACTTCATTACCAATTAATGGTTGTCTTTCTTTTTAAGCTCATATGAGTGAGAAGACTTTATTCAGTGATGGTAGGATTTCTCTACTTAAAATTTGAACAAAAATTTGATTGAATTCTGCAAAAATTCAAAAACCCCCCTTCTCTTTTTATAAATTATCTGAGAATCATCATATGTTTGAGATATTGGCAATAATCTAGTCAAGACAATAGTCTCTCATTATTCTAAAGTATTTAATGACAATGATTTCCTTGTTCGGTTGTTGAGATCTCAGTTTTGATTTCATTGACGAGAGCAATATCTTTGGCTTTTGAGTGTCTATTTGATAGTATCCCAAATATCTTTTGGAGTTGCTAGGAGCATTTATGACTCATAAATTTTAGGCATCATGAATTCATGATGTTCCATATTGATGTCATTTCATCAAATTTGTTTCATTGTAAGGTGTAATTTTTGGGTTTTTTTTTGTCCCTAGAAGAGAATTCATAAAATTATAAATATTTTCTTGTTTTAATTTAGAACGTTTTTTGAAAATTCATACCACTACAAATTGATTATTTCATTCAATTATGGGGCAAGTTACCCCTGTAGCCTTTCTTAATTTCAATTGTTTTTATTTTTGCATACAACTATATAGAAAAAATAGATAATTATAATAACAAGCACAAAAAATTCACTTAGGGATTGCCGATTGATGTCCGGGCTGTCCGGGCTCAATCCACATGCTATGCTTTTTTTTTTTTTTCTTTTGTATATGAATCCGTGGAAGAGGCATGTTTTTGTAAGTAATGAATTCTTGACCTCGAACTTTTCTCATTTAACACTCTTGCAGATGGCCCTTCGCATGATGAATTATGTAGCTTTAGGATTTATTATAACTATATTTTAGTTTATTTTCAAAGTATTTTTTTAACATTTTTTTTAAATATTAATGCATTCTAACTTCTTTTGTAATGTTAATTTTATCAAGTAAGAAATTGAAATACAAAGAACCAAAAATGAAGTTAACTTCAGCTTGATCATACATCATATGTACTATTTCAACTAACAATTCTTTAAAAGTTGCATTTTTTGGATTGCTTAGTAATCCATCAACCATATTAGATATGGCTGATTAAATTTTATTTCAAGATATAAGCTTGATCTCAAACAAAAATTATTTCGATCCCTAAATCTGACTGTTAATATCATTAACGTTAAATATAAGCATATTTTTAATATCATCAACGTTAAATATAAATTTAGATTGTAGTTTTAAATCAATTATGGCATATAAAACATATTAAAAAATTCATAAACTGCTTACTTTAATTGATTCAACTTCAACGTTCAGTGATCATTGTATTAATGTATTTTTCTTATGCTTTAAATAAGCTGTATGGGTACTCTTTTGGAATTTAAATTTATGCAATAATCTTAATAAGAGAATAATTTAAGATTCTAAGATTATGCATAAAATCTCATTTTATCGTTTTGCTGAATTGTAGCTTATTTTGTCCCCTAGTTCTCTTTTAGTTCTCTAGTGAAACAAATGATAGCAATGAAATAACTTTTTTTGTAAGACCAATAAACCTTGCAAATTACCAGGTTACATTTTTTTCTTCTTTATAATCCTTGAATTGATTATGCATTTAATCTATATAATCACCAAGTGACAAATATTACTCTTTTGGATCCATATTTCATATCAATCTTTGATGGCGTTGCTTGTTTTGAGTTCCTAAATTATATTTTTAAAAGAAATCTTTGAAATCTTTGCTCCCTTCGAAAATTTCTAAGATCATTCTATTGAATATAGGAATGCAATTATGAATCTCATATTGTATAGCTGTCTTCTAGAGTCTTAATTTTTCCTGTTTTGTTCAAGTTGCGTTATCAATTAAATATTTTTATTGGTAAAATTAATGTTTAATGCTGTTGACATGATGATGTAACTATAGATACTATAGATTTTGATTCTAATTATTTGTATGGCACATAAATAGTTGATTCAAATTCAAATTGTTACTAAGCTTGTTCTTATGTTAACCTTATCTATTAGCTTATTTTATGGGAATCCAAAAATGATTGATGTGATAAATGTATATGAGATCTTTTGACATGAATTAAATTCCTTTTTATGATTTTAATCTTGTGAGTGCAACTTTTATGCGCAATTGCCTAATTTCAATATGAGGCAAGATTTTTTCTTGCTTTGGTATTTTTTTTATTCTATGTTTTAATCTAATTTTTTTGACATTGACTTATTTAATGTGCTTAATTTCAATAAAAAAGTAACACAACGAAAATCTAATTTATAAAAAATCACTTCAGGTCGCTTTTTGATATTGTGTTCTTCCAATTTCTTAGTAAATTTTTAAGATTATTTTCAGTCAGCTTGTTATTAATTAGTTTTGGAACATTGCTTAGTTAATTTAAATAAATAATTTATTGACTTAATTGGTAGTCTGTGATTTCTGAACCCTCAATTTATAGAATAAATTAAATTATACCACACTACGTCATTATAAAAATTTATTCCTAAGCCGTTTTACATCAATAATGCTTGATGGATGGTTTCACAATTGTAGTTATCACCTTAACATGCATTTCCTTATACTTTTAATTCTTGAAATTTTCTTACCCATAACTCTTGATGTGAGCTTGTAATCTGTTTAAAATTGAAAATGAGATAATAGAATATTGCTATTTTCACAGGACATGCATTTATGCGCTCATTAGGTTTCTTACAGAGAAAAACATTTATTAATAGATAATGATATCTTTTCACTTATTTTGTGAGTATTAAATGATGACTTTAAAGAGATTTGAAGGCGGCGATAGCAACAACAACAAGTCTTTATCCCACTAAGTGGGATCGGCTATATGAATCCTTTTTCTCCGTTGTGTCCTATTGAGTGTAATATTTTCATTTAATTCTAATAAATTAAGATAATTCATTATACAACATGCTTTGGCTTTTTTTAGATCCACCTCTACTTTTCTTAACTAAGAGATTTGAAGAAGTTGATAAAATTTAATACCTATATCGATTTCTAATTATTTTCATAAAAATGTTGGAATCTATTAAAGTTCATGCTTTTAACCTCGAGCGAACATGTGATCGCCAAGTGAAAACCTTTTTTTTCACTTAAGCTATAGAAGTCATGGAGAAATATTGAATTTTATGATAACCAGCATGGGGAGATCACCTTCATCATGATCATCATCAAGTTCATTAGTCTTTTCCCAACTATTTTGGGTTGGTATCATGACTCTGTGAAATTTTATTTTTCATATATCTTATTAAGTGTGAATAAGATTTTAAGCCTATTTTTGTGTAAATCATTTCAAACAACTTCTGTCATGTAATCTTTGGTCAACTTCTTTTTCTCCAAATTTCTAATACTAATTTCATCAAAAATTGTAATAGGCATATTTTATTCTCTTCGTTGTACATTTTCAAAGCGCTTATATGTATTTTCAATTATTTTACTTTTAATAGATGTCATTCCAACCTTCCTTTGATATAATTATTTTTTAATTTATTCTTTCTTGCTTGGCCCTGCATTAATCTTAAAATTATTATTTCTACCGTTCTCATTTTAGATATCTATGGTTTTCTTACAACAATCATTTGGATCCATGCATTGTTTGTCTTGTTGAGGTTTTATAAATTTTATTTTTAGGCCTCCATGTTATTCTTTTATCACACAATAAATAAGGTAGACCTTATTTTTTGTTATGAACGATTTCATTTACTATTGTTGCACATAGCTTTTGCTGAGAGAATGACATCATCTATGCTGATGAATTACTCAATGCAGACCTATTTGGTGATTCTATATTAACCTTTAGATGCAAATCAAACTTAGCTGCTTTAAGCAACGATATTACATTTTCTTAGGTTTGTAAATCAATTGCTGGATTCTGGGCTATAAATAAATTTGATGTTGCAGGCATATAAAGTCTGGCAATGAGCAATTCGTGACAGAAATCAGCAAATGGGTCTTTCATGAGAGGGGTCATCTAAAGGTGAATCTGTTTTTTACTATTCTATAGGCCTGACACTTCCTTAATTGGGGCATTTACTACACAATTTTTATATATCTACATATCTGACACAACTTTCATATTTACATACATAAAACATACTGGTACGATTCAGAGCAAAAATAAAAAAGATTATCCACAAAAATTAGGGGAAAACAGATTTTTTATTGCAATAACCCAAAATTTTCACACGAATACAAAAGATAAACACCTATAGTTCGAGAGGTAGGAAATCTCCCAAAGCCTAAACCCAAAACTCACAACTCAATCTCATGCATAAACCTACTCCGAAACATATTAGGTCTATTTATTCCCAACAATAATAATAATAAAAGACTAAATTGCCCTTAGATATACAAAAGACAAATTTGACCATAAACTACCCCCCCCAAACAAAAGACACTTTGTCCTAAAGGTGGGGAAAAAGTTAGACTATTACTTGATCAAGTAAGGCGGCTTCCACGTGGTGCCATTATCTGACTATCTTTTCCATTTAATCAAGAATTTATATAGACTCACGAGAGTGTGAAATGTAGTCTTGTTCACATCCTTTGGCCGCATCTGAATCAGTTGGTGGTCTGATTTCCAATCAATCTTAGAGAATATCACAACCCCAAATAACTCATCTCGTTTCTTACCGATCACCAAAATCTCTGTCAACTCCGTGTCACGTGTCTCTTCCATCTCTGTCAACTTTGATTCAATTTGCTTTTGTTTGTCCAAGCTATCTGAATGTCATATTATTTTTTCATAGTGTTGTCGCCTAAATCTGCTTCGGTTTTCCTTGATTGATACCACAGTTCCCAATCCACCTAAAGCTGTGATGTTGTCATCATGTCGTGGCAACCATTTTGGTTGTTTCTGTTGGAGCACGTCTCGACATCGTCTTTCGACCTAGTGGCGGGCGGAGCCGGTTTTGTGTGAATCTCCATTATCTTCTTCATCATTTCTTGCATATCTCTTATGCTTTCGAATCCGTTCTCCATCCAGCTCTTTATGGAAGAAAATCTATTTTCTATGGTGACATATCTTTCTTCCATCTTAGATTTTATTTGACTCATATCTTTCTTTAATTTTTTCTCCAAGTCATCTACTTTTTCTTGATTGCCATTCTTTTCATAATTTTTTTTTATCATAAAATTTGGAAGCACCTATATGTTGAAATGTTGTAGAGGATTTCTCAGATAGTCAAAATCGCGATGAACGGTGCCGTCAAAATTATGATCTAGCAAAGGAATAAGAAAAAATTGTATCTCATAGTATAGTCACGGGTTGGAAGGAAGAGACCTCGACGTTGCTATTGGCACTGTAAGCCGCGATCCCATAGCACACATCAAAAGTCTAGTGAGTTTCGAGTCTCTGTATACCGTGATTCTTCACGTTTAGCTCCAATCGGGAGTGTTTTGTGAATATTGTCATTTCATCACGTTTAGCACCCAATCTGTATGTTGAGATTTTGTCAATTTCGTCAGTCTTCACGGAAGTCGGAAGACATGTTTCCTTCGTAGCCTTCCCTTCAAGCTGAAAGGCGCTAGTTTCGAGTTTTGATAAGCTACGATCCTTCTCGTCGCCTCTTTCACATCAAGCTATGACCCTCTGCGACCTCGTATTTTTCTCATGAAACTCGGAGCGCGATTGTATCGCAGGGTTCCGTTACGAAGGTGTTTCAGATCTTAGTAAGATGCGATCCTTTGTGTCAAAGCCTTCTTCTATGAGTCATGAGCTCATCGTTGCCTTCTTCGAGGAGTCGCGAGCCCGTCATTGCTGAGATCCTCTCACCTTCCGAGCGAGAATGCGTCATATAAGCCGTGATTCCGTTGCTTTCGCAGCAAGACTTCGTCGTAAGCCACAATCTCGGTTGCTCCCCTGCAGGCTCATTGATCGCAGAAAATGTGATCCCGTCGCCTTCCTCTCGCCGAACACCACGATATCGTAGTGTTTGGTCACGAAGGTACGGGAGTCTAACTGTATCGCGAGATTCTGTCAAGAAGGGATCTTGTTGATGCTTCTCAGCTACCAACAACAATTCCATGATGATCTCCCCAAAATCATGCTCTGATACCAATCTAGTATGATATGGAGCAAAAATTGGCACGGTTTTCACAGAAGTCGCCTAAGACTCACAACTCAATCTCATGCATAAACCCAACCCTACATTTAATAAGTCTATTTGTACCCAACAACAATAATAATAAAAGACTAAATTGCCCTAATGCATGCAAAAGACAAACTTTCCCTTAGACTAGGCATAGACGTAGCACATACCACTCAAATCTTTGACATCTCATGACAAATCTCACTATCACTAACATTTTAAAAATGAAGTACACCTTTTCATGCATAGTTTTTTCAAATTGTTATAAATATACATGTCAAACTTTAGGTGTTAGATATGTAATACAAAAGAATTGTATAGTATGCAAATTTCTTTATTCAGAATGCCTTCATTTATCATTGAGGATATGTTTTTTCGTTCCATACAGGCTGTAAATGTTACTCATCGCAGAGCAGCAGAGATGTCTGAACCTGCAATGTACCGTATCAATGATGATCTGGTAATTAATAATCAATTATTTGAGCAGTGTACGTGTTAAGTTTTAAATTCCTAGCTGGGGATGCACTTGAATTAAAAGTTATATTTATATTTTGAATGGCGAAAGGAATATTCTGTTGAAATCTACGAATGGTCTGGAGCCTCCTGGAAACCATATGTGGCAGATGATGTTCAGGTTCAATTCTATATGATGAGCCCTTACGTATTGAAAACTTTGTCCACTGACCTAAAGGTACAATCTGGAGCTGATTTTTTCTTTCTTCTTGTTTCTTTCTTGTGTGGACCCTCACTTGTACGAGAGGGAAGGACTGTGCTGGAAACTATTTCATTTACCTATGTTGGAGTTAATGATATACTGTTTTGCAGGGACTTTATTTTACATCATTCAAGGTTCCGGATGTTTATGGCGTCTTCCAGTTTAAGGTGGAGTATCACAGATTGGGGTACACAAGCTTATCTCTTTCAAAGCAGGCAAGTAATACCAGCTTAATCTTGTTTTTTGGATATTTTTATTATCTTTTGTGAATTATTGAATTTATAACACTAAAAAAAACTATGTTTATATTCTATTTTTATGTTTACTTCAAGAGCCTGATTGATAGTACTGTTCTCTATTACCCAAGAAAGCATGAATATTTTCCAGCCGCCTAAACTGTTGGTATAGTCGATGCCCAACAAAAACCATTTATCAAATGGAAGGATAATGGTCAGTGCTTTTTAAAATCAGAGCCATTTTTCATGCAAATGAAATAGGTTTTAGTGTTTCAATGCAATGAAGATTATGTGGGCATGTTTTGGATCAAATGCTTTTTTAATCATGATATCTAAACATAATATACATGTTGCTGCTTAATGTAGAATTGCTACAACATTTAACAAAAAAGCTATGGTTCCATTATATTGCAGGTATTTTATGGTTGCTTATGATGGCCAATTTATTTGAATTGTTTCATTACTCATCTGAATTTATTTTAACATTTTAGTATTAGTTGGAACAGACATACAACAACGACAAACCTTTATCCCACAAAGTGGGAACAGACATAAAGCTAGTAAAAATATTAAATGAACTACAAAATTTTAACAAGATGAGAGCTTAAGAATGGTAGAACGAAGAACATCACATAAGATTTTAGTGGGCGTGTAAATTGATTTGATTTATTTTGTAGAAGATAAAATGTACCTTTGTGTGATGGATGGCATTATTTATGGATTTAAAATTGGGCGTTTAAAATGAAAAAACTATCAAGAGTATTATGCAATTATAGAAAATGATGATGATATAAAGGCAATTATAAAACTACAATAAAATTGAATTTTCTATATAGATTTTAGTTCTGGTTTATCATGAAATGTCATTGATGGATAGCTTGCAGGGAGTGACATAATTGGTAATATTATTTAGTTATTTATTTGTGTTTGTGCCTATTGAAAGTCTAATAGGATAAAATCTGATTATGTATCTATCCCCTAAAATCTGTGTGATGGATGGCATTATTTATGGATTTCAAATTGGGCGTTTAAAATGAAAAGACTATCAGGAGTATTATGCAATTATAGAAAATGATGATGATATAATGGCGAGCTTTATAAAACTACAATAAAATTGAATTTTCTATATAGATTTTAGTTCTGGGTTGTCATGAAATGTCATTGATGGATAGCTTGCAGGGAGTGACATAATTGATAATATAATTTATTTACTTATTTGTGTGTGCCTATTAAAAGTCTTGACCTGATATCTAAATAAAATTTATTAATAGGATAAAATCTGATTATGTATCTATCCCCTAATTTTCACTTGGTTTCCATCAAGAAAGAGCTCAGACCAGGATTTCAAAACCCATAGAAAGGGCAGCTTTCTATTCTTTATCAGTTTAGGTAGGTAGTTTCATGTTTTTATAATGATTACTATTAGAGTTATTCTAGTAGGCTTTATGATCCTTCTTGTTCTGACTTAATATGACATGCTGTCAACTTTTATTTTGTTTTGCACCTGTAGATGTTCGTTTGCAAATATGTCATTTACGCATGAGACGCTTAATTTTCACTTTACTATTTTTTTAAAAAAATTATTCAAATAACCGATGCTTCAGATCCCGGTCCGGCCATTTAGACACAATGAATATGAGAGATTTATCCCAGCTGCCTTCCCTTACTATGGAGCATCATTTTCAACTGTAAGTGCACTCTGAATTTAAGTTCATCTCATTTTCATAAATTCATCAGCCTTTACTTTGTATGGGAACTATGATTTCCATCAAGCAGGAATATCAGAAGCCCCTCTCAGTCAACACATTAAATTTTTTTCTTGCATAAAATTTTAGTAAACTATTGGTTGATATAATTTTTCTTTTTTAATGGTGATTTATGAGTGAGTATTTTTCCTTGCAGATGGCTGGATTCTTCATTTTCACAATTGTTTACCTCTACAATAAATAAGTTCCTTCAGGCCTAAGGAATGTGATGCGGCCGATTTCCAATTGACCATGAGGTGATGAGTAGTTTGGTACCGTTTAAATTGAATGCTATACGTGTTGGCTTAAGCTCTTTTTTGATAAAATTTTGGAGAAGTCTAGACTTAAAAAAACTTATTTAGCAGTTTCTCAGTAAATCCGGAAGACCTCTGTTCTGGAGTGTCGGCAAAATTAACATCGTCATCTTTTTTTAAGTCTTATGAATGAATTTCCTGCTCCAACAATTCTCATTTTACTTCTAGCCCACACCTCAATCAATGTGGAAGCTCGTATTAATTCCAATATCTATTAAATGAGCGGTGCATATTCTACAGTTGAACCGTGCATGTGGAATCACCGTCTCCTGACCATTTGATTCGATTTCCAAAAAAAATCTGCATTTGATTCTTTTGAGAGTTTGTTTTAACAGGTTACTTTTTTGAAGTTTATATTAGTTTTTGGATGACATGCTATTTAGAAAATTCTTCCATATCTTTGAAAGGACCTCAAAATTTAGTTTCATGTTTGTGTAGTGAGAGTTATTGATTCAGGCTGGATGCGAGTACATAAACATTATGGGATTTTGTGTTTATATTTTAGATCATGATACCATAGATTTTTATCATAATTATAATAATTTTGTTAAATAAATATAACAATTAAATATATTTTATTTAATTTTAAATTTTTTTTTGAATAAACGAGTATTAACATCTTCCCAATCCATCGCTCCAAAGGAATTTTCAACTTTGTTTTGTACCTTTGCACGTTGCAATGATTCTTCCGTCGTTTTAACGTTTTATTTTGGCGACCTACAATTTTAACTTCGTCAGGGCTAAAGTAATGCTTTCGGATTCAAATTAACATTTAGCACGAACAAGAATAAAAACATTCAAACAGAATGAAGGGTAAATCAAGGCCATAATTCTTATCCAGAGCATTTTAAATCTCCGCTTCTCCATTTAAAACAATGGAGGCTCGCCTTCAACAATTAAGAAATTATGGTTTAAAATTAAGTATTATCTTATAAAAAATAAAGTCATAGCTCACCATTTTCAGGAAAAAACGTATCGATGAGCTTCGAATAAAATTCATCCTTTTTCATTGAAACCATAGTTATTGTCAGTAAAGCAACACAAGTATTATAACTTTAATTTTGTCAATATGTTTCTTTTTTTTTCAGCTTGCTCAACTGATCAAACAAGCTTAAAATCAAAACTTTCTACTGCAAATTTGTTTTTCACACTTGGGTTTTGTTATAAGAAAATGATGCCCGGTGCGAGCCATTTTTCTTTCTAAAGCACGAATAAACGTACAGAAACACACAATACGAAAATTCTTCTGATGCATATTAAAAGCGTTTGTAAAATTCTTATTTTTATTTTTTGCATCATTACTCTCATTGTTCTTTAGAAATCAATCTTTTTTTTAAAATAGTTTTGCCCTGATAATCATGTTTAAATAACAAATAAAAAAAAGGAAAAATATCAAAATAATCCCTTGAATCTTTGAAAGACCTCATTTTAATCCCAGAATTTACAAAAGTGTACATTTTGAAATAGTTCTTGTAGCCCACTATTAAAAATTAAATTAATATTTTTATAAACTCTGGGATTAAAATGATCCATTTAGGTGATAGTTGCAGTCAGGGGGGACTATTTTGACACTTTACAAGATTTAACACAACTTAACCTTAAGAAGGATCAAGTTCTGGAGTCCATCTTTGAATTTCTCCTCAATTTGAAAGCAGAAAATTTGTGAGCAGCTTCACTTTCAATAACGACACGACTGCTGAGAGATTGTTTGCGCTCCACCTCTTTATCGTACTGAATGGAAGATCGCCGTAAGATGTTAAAAAGAGAAGAACCGGTCTCTGATCCTGCCTGCACCGTTCCTTTAGCTACAGATGATTTCACTTGCGAACTCAACCTATCTTTCCTGGAATTCTTTGCAGATATACCTTCTTTTTCAGCCTAAAAGCCCAAAATAGAGAAAATATTAAAATTTTAGCATATTAGGGATGTAAAATAAAATTTTGCAAGTAAAATAGAGATAATAACGTGCCATGCTGTCATCACTAAACAAGTGAACAATGAGATGCATGCATCTTCATCTATTATTTTGATTATATTGTTGAAACTGGATCACTGCTGCAAGATTTTTAACTCAACTCATTGAATTTTTGTAAATATATAAGAATTGTGAGGCATGTAGGCAAATTTACCAAACTTAGGTTATTGTATAATCTCTCTAAAAAATTGGATTCCTTGAGAATTCTGCAGATCTTATTGACAACTTTCATGAGACGACTTGAATATCGATGTACATCAGCATTTGATATGAATTTTCAATTTGGTGATTCATACCATAGATCTTTCTATTAATTTGCTTCATAATTGATATACATGTGATTCAAGTTTTCTAAAATTTCATACATGTTTAGTTCATTTCTACAGCGGAAATCTTGATCATTATTCAATTTCATTATGAGATTTCCAATTTTAATGATTATTGTACAATAGTTTATAATGACATAAGTGTGTGTGATATTTTTGCATCGACGTTGATTAATATTTACTAAAGAAAAATTGGTAGCCTAAAAATTATAGCTATTAATGCTTTTTATTTTGCAACCCATCCTATGTTGCATTTGTGAACCTTGGCGCTAGTGTGATCTCCATCATGTTTAATATTTTTTGGCCATTTACATACACACAACACAATTCCTATGTATTTACATATCTAAAGCTAAACATTACTTTTTTACATTTATATCATCTGAATCTTTCATCTCACATTAAATGTACCATTATTTTAAATTTTAAAATGTGAAATGCACTTGTTCATGCAAAGGTTGGATGGCATATATGTAAAAATTGAAGTTTAGGAGTTAGATATGTAAATACATAAAATTTGAGTGGTTTGTATGTGAATCTTTCAATATTTTAATATAGTACGAAATGGCTAAGTGTTTTCAACGAATATTTATGGTGACATTATGCTTGCATATTTGCCAGAAAACAAAAAACATTGTGTTTTTGAAAAAAAATAAAAAGAAAATATCAATGGACACTGTATACAAAAGTAATGATATTTTACCGTCTCTGAAGGGATCTCAGATGTTGAAATATTGCTCTTGCTATTGCTGTCATCACGACCAAAAATGAATGCCTTGACAGAAATGGATCGTTGTTTATATGATGTCGAAAGCAAACTATTCGTTCGATTGAGAAAAGAAGACTGCAAAAGCAAATAGTAAGAATGATACTCAGAATAAGCATATAGTATCAGACAACAGAAACCCATTTTGAGAACTAAGTAGAGTTAAAAGAACTAGTGTTGGATCTAACACCTAAAGTTTGATATTTTTTCACACCTTGGTATTAAAAACCTAAGCAAGAAAATGTAAATTTCACTTTTAAAAAGTTAGTATAGTAGTACTTTTGATGTGATGTCAAAGATTTGAATGTTATATATGTTAGTATGTAAATATATAAGAATTGCGAGTTATGTATGTAAATGTCCCATATAAGAAAGTTTTAAACCCTATTTCACTGCCCAGTTGATACTTTCAAGTTATCAAAGGCTAGACTTATTTCCTTTTTTAACCCTAACATAGCAAAAATAAATTGCTATATTAGAAAAAGCTATACTTTTATTGAGGTTTGATGAAGAAGTTCAGGGATAATAAGAATAATCTAAATTTGATTTTTATTGATTTAAAAAAAGCTTACGATAAGGCCCCAAGGGATATTCTTTGGAGAGTTTTGGAGAGTTCTGGAGAGTTCTTGAGAAGAAAGGTGTTCATATGACTTATATTCAAGTCATTAAAGATATATATACTAGAGCTGGAACTTGTGTTCGAACTGAAGGAAGATTGACCAATTATTTTCCTAATTCTGTTGGATTAAACCAGGTTATGGATGAAAGCCCATATCTTTTTGCTTTAGTTATGGATGATCTTACTGGACATTTACAGGAGGAAGTACCTTGGTGTATGCTTTTTGCTGATGATGTCCTATTGGATAAGACAAGAGAAAAAGCCCAGAAAAAACTTGAATTATGGAGGTCTACATTGGAATCTAAATGCTTTCATTTGAGTAGATCTAAAACTAAATACATGGAATGTAATTTTAGTAGTAGTAGCTCTAGTGACATAAATGTAACTTTGGGTGATCAAATAATTAAAAGGTGTGAGCGATTTAGATATCACAGGTCTGTTGTTCAAAGCGATGGTGATATAGATATAGATTGATATAGATGAGGATGTTAATAATAGAATTCAAGTTGGTTGGTTGAAGTGGAGGAATGCTTCGGGCCTTTTGTGTGATAGAAAAGTACCGCTCAGACTGAAAGGAAAATAAGATGGTGGTGAGACCTTCAATGTTGTTGGCCTTTATAAGAGAAGCATAATACTAAATTAAGCGTTGTCGGATGAGAATGATTAGGTGGATTAGTGGCTTTACACTTAGAGACAAAATGCAAAATGAATATCTACGTGATAGGATTGGTGTAGCTCCAGTGACGGACAAAATTAGAGAGTCTTCTTAGATGATTTAGTCACATTAAACGTCGACTATCTGATGATCCGATTAGGAGAATAGACGTTTTAGATTCGACTTATGTTAAGAAAGGCAGAGATAGACCTCAAAAGACTTGGGCTTATTGTATAAAAAAATGATCTTAATTTATTAGAACTAAATGAAAATATCATCATGGACTTTCCAAAATAATAAATAAGCTACTTTACTAACTTCTATCAAATTCAACAATTGTATACAAAAAAGATGGGGCATAAAAAGCAAAGAATTATCAACCACTTTATAGCTTACCTTTGAACTATTGCTGCTTCCGGACAAAATAAGAGAATCAAAAAGAGCTGCTGGAGGGCAAGCGATTAAAAATTAATAAAGAATTTTCAATCATTGTTAAAGTGAAAACACACACACAAAGAGAAAGAGAGAGAGAGAGAGATAAGGTTTGCTTACGTGCTGAAGCTTTCGCTCTCTTCTTGGTACTTGGGGCAATGTTCAACTTCTTTATCAGACCAAAAAATTCTCGAGAACTTTCATCTTCCACCGGAGATATCAAGGAAGGTTCCTCCTGAATTTGAATAGGCAAAATTATTGTAATTTAAATACCATATTTTCTGTCAAAATTATGCTTATTATTAAGTTTTCATTTTTTTTTGGTCTGGTTTCTTAACTAGAACTTCAATAACTAGCTAACAGTGATGACCATGTATTTTCTTATTTATCATAAGAATGTAAGTTAAGTGAACTAGCAGAAGCATACACACAACTGCATTCCTGGATATATTGTCCTCATTTAATCGGCATGAATGAAGTTAAATCAACCCCACGACCAAAATTCCAATTTTCTGCTAGAACAAATCATTAGGTGGTCTTATAGTTATAAAAGGCTTCATAGCTTGGTTTAATTAGAATAAACTACAGATATAAACAAGTAGCAGGTCATAATACCCGTGGCAAAGTGAAAATAATTCAAATAAAATAATAAAATTAATTTTGAAAAATTTCATTAAACTTCAAAACGAATTCAAATTACACACAGGCCAACAATATGCATACAAATGTGAACATTACAACTAAACTAATTGCATAGATTGAAATTTACTTGACATATGATACAGGAATTTAAAGTTATACTGCCTAAAAAATTCATAAATGCAAATATTGAGGATTCCAAGTCAAAAATAGAAAATTAAGCAAAGAGCTAGCCAATTCTACTACTTCAAGTTGCCAGAATATCCATGAATAGTTATCAAAAGGGGAAGAGAAGAGCATCTCATTCAAACTGCAACAGTAGCATGGTTAGGAAAGAAAGAGCTTGTTGAGGATCAATTTAGGTTTTTGTTTTTTTTAAATTCTATTTTTGTTTTTAAAAACATGTTTGTTTAATTTGTTTTTACAATGTTTTATTTTTTGTTTCTAAAAACATAATAACAAGTTTTTTAAAACACTTAAAACAACTAGTAAGTTTTTGAGTGTTTTTAAAAATAACTATAGTTTAATTAATATGTCAATCATGTTTTGTTTTAAATCAAAATATAAATAAATAAAAATAAATGAATAAATAAATAACAAAAGTTTTCTCAAATGACCCCTAAACTTTCACAGAGTTACTTACATGATGCTTGAGAATATGATGACGAATAAGATTCTTTTCCGTCTCTTCATCATCTGATGGTAAATAAACATCATTAGCATCAGTAAACATGTGAGAAATCATTTGTTTGGCCTTTTTCAAGCTTTGATGAGACGTATCTATGGGATGATTCTTATACAACGCTTCATCACCACCATCATTATCGTCATTGCCTTCATCAACATCATTATCACTTCTATCATAATTATCATAATCACCACCATGAATTAATGCTGGTTTTCCGAGTCCTTCACGACCAGATTTTATCCTTTGGAGAACATTGTCAGTTTCAGCAGCATCTTGTTGCTCGAGCCACTTCTGATGAAGTTCGTTGCGTTTCTCTTGGTCTATTGGAGCCTCCTCATAGCCAGTAGCAATCAGGTCGTCAAGTTCTTCGTGTTCATCAGTCTCATCTTCATCTTCGTTTTCTTGAAACCTCAACAGATCACAATCACTATCATCTTCTTCTTCAGCCTCATCATCAAGAAAAGCTTTTGCTATGCCATCTTTAGGAGATGAGTCCTTGTTCAAAACATTGTGAATACTAGGACTGATGTTTTCCTTGTCACTTTCTTCTTCCGAAGTCGAACTGTATGAAATGCCATCAAGCATCTTAAATCATAATAAATTAGGTGAAACAGAAAATATCTTTAAGTATTATTTAGAATGATAAAAATGCGCAACAATTACTGTAAAATGTTTTAAATATCAAGGGAATCCAAAGGAAGATCAAACTAACAATTTGTAAGCAACGCAATATTGGCCAGAAATTACACTGCAATAACTAGAAAGCATTTATAGGACAAAGAAGCCCAAATACAAAAGAAATTTAGATGGTTTTTACGTTATTTGTAGAACGAATTGCATTTCAGCCTTTAAAAATTGTAGAAAATTTTATAATTTTGTCTTGCGTCGAGGATCACTGAACAAATTGCCTTATTGAGATGTAGCCTACTTTGAGTGTTAAGATTGATATGGTGCCTAATTATTCATCGAATCATGCTTGAAATTTGATGCAATTCTTCAAACACAAAAATGCTAAAAAAATATGAATCTAGAACTTCAGAAATTAATTTTAATTTATAGGAATGACTTCAAGTGTGATTTTAGTAAAATGCAATAAAAAAATGTCACGCTTACAAAAAAAATTAAATTAACACCAAATTTATCAAAATCTAAGATTAAATATTGATTCAGTAAGATAGCGTTTCTATTGTTGGATGAAAAGAAAAGGTTGAAAGGGAGAATTGCTTCAAATTTGATATTATAATTTAGAAAGATTGCGTCATTATCAATATGAACATCAAAATTAAATACTTGGGATTGAATAGCACAGTTGATGAATATCTTATGCCCACTAGTTCTCCTATTCCAGATGCATGCTTTCTCCACATAAATAACAATGAAACCTTTATTTGTCCAAACAGATTAACAACACCTGGTGAACTATAGCCCAAATGAGTTAACAAAACGAGAGAACATGCATTGCTAATTCAGATGAAACGAAATTTGCTTTCTTGATGACCTAACAATTCAGATAGGCTGCGAATTATAAAGTGTTGAGCATTCCTCCATCTCTAAAAGAAAGCATATAAAAACCAACTGAGGCTTCCTAAAATGCAACCACCAAACACAGCTAACCATTCATTTGATTAAAAATGATAGCAAGATTTACCTACATACCACTCAATTCCTATGTATTTACATATTTAACACCTAAACTTTAATATTTACATATACACCACCTTTCCTATGCATGAAAAGGTGTATTCACCTTTTAAAAGTTTAAAAAGGTGGTACCTTTTATGAGATATTAAAGATTTAGTTGGTATAAATGTAAATAATAAAAAAAAAAAGTTTAGGTGCTAGATATGTAAATACATAGGAATTGGCTGGTAGGTATGTAAATGACTCAAAATGGTAAGATGCACAGCATGCTTCTTGCACTTACACGTCATAATCGCTAGAGCTGGCATCACCACCATCCTTGCCTCCACCATCAACATTTAAACAAGTGTTAAGTGGGTATGAAGGAATATCTTTCTGAGGATTTAGTAGGTTATCAACTCCAGTGCTTAATTGAAAACCACCTTTGTCTTCCTACAGTAAATGCTACATTTACAACAGTAGTTCCTGCATTGACAGAACTATAGAAGAAGTAATACAAAATTTCCATACTTTAAACATAAAAGGATACCTGTGTATCATTAGTTGGATTCTTTTGTGTGCCTTCTGAGCCAACATCAAGGTCCTGCACTTATAAAGACAGGAAACACATTATATCCGTAGATCTTATAAACAATAAAATTAATTATTTAGACATATCAAAGATAAATTAATTAGCTGTAAAATGTCTGATCCCGTACTTTCATGTTATTCTGAACATTGGCCATCTGCAAGAAAACCCAATAAACAGAAATTTTACAAAATAAAACAAAAGGTATACATGAAAGCATTAGGCATAAGACATGTGGATTCAAAAGATCGAACGTTAGTTATTAGATCAAATTTACAGTCAAAAGTAAGCAAGGAGGCTTTATTGCATATGTTAGCATTTAAATTATGAACATACCAAAATAAGATTCATTTCCGGAGAAAAAAAGAGTGTCATCTCACTTTAGAGGGTGTGTGTATATATATATATATATATGGACACACACTCCATTTACAAACCATATGCATCCCCTTTTAATGGTAGTTTGGCCGCAGTCTTCAAAATAACACAGCCCATCTTATGAAAGGATTTGTCTCGAATAGATAATCTAGATCCACCCCACAGATACAAAGTCCTTGACTCATGCAAAACTATAAAGTAACAAAGTTGGCAAAATCAAGTAGCACATGTGGCAATCAACATCGGTAGTAGCACTATCCTAAATGTTTGAGGCAAGTTTTTATGAATCATCATGCAACATTTCTTTAGTGTTATATGAGATGTAAACTTCACATAAAAAAAATCCTTTTTTATGATAAAACAAGAAAAAATAATCCAAAGACCTACCACACATTCATTCCTATCAGTCTCTTTTATGTCGATTTGTCCGTTCACAGGGCCTGCCTTACAATCACTCCCCGCAGTACAGTCAGCAACCTCAACAAAAGGCAACGAACCAAGAATGTTGGAACTACAACAAAAAAACAAAACCATTTCAACAAATCCGAACATTCAAAGATAATTTATAAACATTTTTTGCAATAGCGAAATAGAATTGTATATCAGATAAACCTTTTCAATATTTCTAGCTTCCTGAGACGAATTTTCTTTAATACTGAAGATATTGGCTTCTGCATGAGCTGCACAGGCTTGAACGATGCATTACTGGTTTCTGCACCGAAATGTCATAATCATTTTACATATAAATACTTCTTCCAATTCTTAGAAATGGTTAAATATTGCTATTTTCTTTTACCTCGCAGAAGCCGCTGTGATTCAGCATGCAAGCGCTCCAACTCTGCCTTCCTTTCCTGTCAAAGATTTCAACACAACTAAGGCAGCACAATCTTTCAATGTGCAATATCATGAAAAACAATATATTAATATTAAAAACGACAAAATTTATTCGCAAACCTTATCGAGCCTTTTCCTTTCCCGAACAGATTCCTTCGGCTTCCCATTCGGATCTTTGAGCTTCCTAGACTTTCCCTTTTTCTTCTTCATATTCGGATCTTCCTCTTCATCTTCCAAATTAAGTTTCCTCTTCACATTCTTTTCCTTCTCCGATTCCTTCACCACCACTACTTCTTCATCATTTCCGCCCCCGCCTTCCTTCACCTTCACCTCCTGCACACACGGATCACCCATCATCTCTTCACCACTCCGATACACAAATAAAGGATCGAGCTCCGGCGCCGGACCCGTTTCCTCGCCGAAACCCTTATTCTCCGTCGCATTGGAGGAACCCGTCCGAATCGCGCTGGATTCCGGGATCGGCATGGTCGGCGCATCCGGAACCCTAGGAATCCCCAAAGCCTGCGGAAGTGAAGTAACTGCAGCCTTCTTGAGGCGCTTGAGCTTCGGTTTGGAAGGAGAAGAAGATGGTTTCTCCGGCGCGGGAAGGGCCAATTCGTCCTCTTCGTCGAAGTTCTCCATTACCAAGCTAGAAAGCTGACTCATCGACATGGAATGGATGAAGGGTGAGAGAGATCGATCTCTAGGGTTTGAAAACGCTCCAGTGGTTGGCTCGAAAATTGAAGTGAGCGCAAGAGAGCGGGAGGAAAGTTTTTCGCGCCAATAACTTGTATATACCCCGCAGTTGTGCGTGCGGGTCGGGTCGGTCCGGTTTTTCTCAGCTTAATTCCGAATCGGGCCGGAAATGAGGAAAAAATATTAAGTCGTGAGACTCCGAACGTACAACTACGTTCAGATTGTAATATTTCTCGATAAGAATATTTCATCAATGATATTTGTGAAAAATAAAATGTTATTAGAATATTCCCACACGATAGTTGATTTAAGGTTGTATAATTCGAATAACATAGTAGAAATTGAAATAACATAGAGAATATGACGAATAACACAACCCCAAATCAAGTAATACGGGAGAATATTTCAATAACACCTCAAAGTAATTAAATAACACTACATAATATTCAAATAACACTTCATTTTTTACAAATAACGCTGATGAAATATTCATTTAACGCATCGGGATATTCCTACAACACAATAACTATTGGGATCCGAACGTATATCTATGTTCAGAGTCTTGAAGTAACATGCACTCGGAAACCCGACATGATAAGTTGTGCTATAATTTAATTATATTAATTAACGCATATTCAATCAATATTTAAATATATTTTTTTAATTTTGACAAAAATGATAGAGTTTAAACATTGAGATTCATTTTATTTACATTTGACCATGAAATTATCAAATAATGATGCATACAACTTTTTATGATTATTTGCGTAAATAATTAAATAATATTGGGTATTTTTCTAAATGTTTTGCAATAATGCACATAATGTTCACTTATAACTAAGAGCAATTTAATTTTTTTTCTCATGATTTTTGTCATTTTTTTATATTCCATACGATTCAAATCTTATTTTGACGTGTTACCGGAAAATTTATTCAATTAAATACAAACCTTAATGAAATATTTGAATTAACACCTTCAAGAATTAAATTAATATCAATAAGAAGTCAAATGTAATGTTTTAGGATTGAGGCTACATTTATCAAAACAATGCTATAAAATGGCAAAGGTGATAGATATGCAAATACACAGGAATTGAATGGTATCTATGTAAATCTTTATTTTTATTTTAATAACAAAAATCTAAAGACCAACTTCAAAAATTTCATCAATATTACTTCTGTATAAAAAAAATATCCATGTAAGTTTAGGGGTTAGATATGTAAATACATAGGAATTGAGTGGTGTTTATGTAAATCTTCAAGCATCATTGAATTACCGTCTCCAAAAACACCCAAAAAAAAAAGATAAAATAAATAAATAAATAAATAAATAAAAATCTCATCCTGCGTTAACAATTGCTGAAGGGAAGCAGCGCGAAACTGGAAGAATAAAATTCAAATACAAGAACTGTACAAATATTTCTCTAAGAATGAATGAAACAGTGTTAATATATTCTATGCGCCCACTCAATAAAAATGATACGTTATTGACCATCTAATACATTACATGATATATATATATATATATATATATAAAAGTATAAAAATGTTTCAAAGTTGAATACAAAGTGGGAAGATTTGCAAAATGCATGAACTGAAGGTGCAATTTGTAACAATCTTCTTACAAATTTATCTGGGCTGGGGAGCAGCAATGATCTGACAAAATCCTGATAATGGTTCTGAGGGAGTAAGGGGCAGTCCAGGTATCTTTCTGTCGATCGAATATTGGAAGCGATTCGAACCTCCGAAGCTTTCGATGGATCTCATGTACTCGGAGGCATTGTTCTCGATGATGAGAGCATCTTCGAGCTCTCGAACGATATCAATCATGTTGGGTCGGTAGGCGGAGAAAGGTTCGATGCAGGCCAAAGCTGCCTCCACGACACGCCACAATGCTTCTGCATGATAACTATTCTTTATATTCGGGTCGACCATCTCATCAATCCTTTGTTCCCTGATAAATGGCTTGGCCTACATAGACATTTTTGTAAATACAGCATAAATAAATGCAATGAATTTTAAAAATTGAAAGATTTACACACATACCATCTAATTTCAACATATTTACATATCTAACAGCTAACCATGCATGAAAAGATGTATTTTACTTTCAAAAAGTTAAAATAGAGATATTTTTGATGTAATATGAAAGATTTGAGTGGTATAAATCTAAAAATTAAAAGATATGTAAATTTAGGCTAGGCAGCAATTGTTAAATCCTTAAAGCATGGTGCAAAATCTCAGGAACATCCATAAGGGGATGGAATTAAGTAGAACCATAACTCAATATTTTATTCATCATATCATCTTTTATGATGAATAACATCATTATGCATAGAAACAACCTCAAAATTAAAAGTGGAAATTACTGCTAAACCTACTACAGATAAAATCATAACAAACAAGAAAAAGTAAAAAACCTGTTAATTCCAAATTAAATAAAGACAAATCTAAATATACATATAGATCATTATCAATTGATTGACAAATTGTATCACATGGCATAAGGATGCAAATTGAAATCATCTGACTTATATTTCATTAGGTCTGTTTTTAGGTAAAATTGCAATAAAAAAAAGGAATACTTAAAACAAAAAGAAGGTTAGCCCTACAAGAAAGTTAAATGAAAATAGATGCACAGAACTTTGTGCATGATGTAAGAGAATATATGGCTTAAGCCGTACCCATTCGACTAAGCTCCATTCGTTGCGTGGCCTATGTATATTCAAAGGCTCTCTTCCGGTCACAATTTCTAGAAGCACCACTCCGTAGCTAAATACATCACTTTTGGTTGATAGCTGCTGGGTAGAATAATATCTGCACATATAGAAAATAAATGAATTACCAAGAAATTATTCTTAACAACAGCAACAACAGCAAGCCTTTATCCAACCAAGGGATCGGCTACATAATCCTTTTTCTCCTCTCCATTGTCCTTTTTCTCCATTGTGTCCTATTGAGTGCCATATTTTTATTTAATTCTAATAAATTAAGATCATTTTTTATAAAACATGCTCGAGTCTTTTTAGGTCAACCTCTACCTTAACATAGTTCAAATCTAAAACATCTACCCTCCTAACTAGGTCATCAGACGGTCAATGTTTAATGTGACCAAACTATCTAAGATGACTCTCTTTGATCTTGTCTTTCACTGGAGCTACTCCAATCCTTTCACGGATCTATTAATTTCACATTTTGTCTCTAAGTTTAAGCCACTCATCTCAGCAACACAACATAGAAATTATTCATAAGCATGGAATTAGTTCACAAATTCATCTGCACGCAAACCAGTGTAAATTGTTAAACATAAACTCCATTTTTGAGCAGCATAAACATGAATTATACTGAGACTTATATGAGCCCGGTAAAGTTCATCATTCACCCATGTACAAGGGGATTAAAGTGGACTGCCCATGCATCCTTGATCGCACAAAGACTCATCCTTTATCATTAACTTCCGCATGAGGTCTAATTATACGACCTACTAGTCAAGGAAAAAATAGTTCCTAGTTGATCCAGTAGAGGCAAAAACGACTACTTCATCAGACCTTGTCTTAGATGTTTTGAGCACATAACCCCTTTGATTCTTGTAAACCACTATAATTGAAATAGATATCTATATTGGTCTGGTTCATATGGAGTTTCACAACAAATCTTTAAATTTGCATAACTTAAGGCAATACGTATAGTACAAAAGGCACAGTCAAAATATGCCAAAAAATGTCTTCATCTTCATCATTGCCGGTTATAGCTCAGCTGTTTGGGATCTGCTTTCTCCATCTTTGTAATTGACATCTTTCCAGAGAAAACATAAGAAAAAAAAAAGAATATGGAAAGAGAAAAAATAAACTAACAAGATGGAGAGATTTTTGGAATACCGAACCGTGCCCCTTTTAATTTTTTTGCAATATTCACCACTTTTCCTTTTACACTTCATTCCTTTCTAGTCATTTCCAATAAAAGTGTTGTATTAGAGTTTGAAGAGTCGGTTTTTGTAGTGTTTTTTATCGGAACAGCTGTCAGCATCTTCATTTTCCCTTCTAGGGCAATATCCATGGGCGAATGGTGCTCCGGCTGTATCTCATTTCAAGGTGATGACTATGCTTGGCTTTCCCTTCCTCCAGAACCTTCCCTTCGCCGTCGCCGTCGCCGTCGGTAGCTGCCTGGAAACAATCCTCCTTAGCTGTTTTCCTGTATCTTCCCGTTGTTCCGGTCTCCCTCTTTGCAGCGCTGACATTCCAGCTCTCCTGCTTGCTGCAATCACTGTCCCAGCCGTCTATAACCCTTCTCCTAGCAGTCTTGCTGCCATTACAGCTGCCGGGACTGCCCCCTCCACAACCTTAACGCTGTCCCTGCCTTTCCCAGCCTCCCAGCCACTGCTCCTCCGCTTCCCACGCGTTGCCACTCTAGGAAAGCAAAGATATTGTCGTTATATTGTTGTTCCGGCCCTCCCGCTTCACTGCCGTCACTCCGAACCCCCTCAACGTGCTCTATAACTTGTTGTCCAGCTCCTGGCTACGTAGCTGCTGCCGACAACAGCAGGGACCTGTTGTTCTGTTGTCGCATCCACCAACTTACTCTGCTTTCCCTTATGTGTCAAGTGTTGTTATTTACTATTTCAGCGTGTCTAAATGTAAGTTCATATTTGAATTCAACAATAATATTTGCTTTCTTATTGTTGTCTCTAGTATCAAAATGCGTTTCAGCTAAAATGAGGAAGTCAAATAAGGCTGGGTTGAGCTATAAAAAAGAAATAAAAAAGATTCATACATGAAGCACAACGAGAAAGAGCTTGCAAAATGATGAAAATGCATTCAGCAAAATAACCATACAGATATGAAGCGTATAAAGTGTTAAAATAGTCGCCTGATTATTTAGATTAGGCTATTTTAGTTCGAGAGTTTATAAAAAGTGCTAAATTAGTCTCAGACTGTTTTAATGGGGGCCAACAAACTCTTAACAGGGGACTATTTAAACTCATACTAAAAGAGTTTGGGGCTGCATTGACACTTTTATAAGCTTTGGGATTAAAATGGCTCCCTGAAAAGAGTCAAATGACCAGTTTGACACTTTTCTTAATATGAAATTATGAACTGCAAAACTTACTCTGGATCCAGGTAACCAGCTGTTCCTCTTACTTCCAAAGAGGCACCACTATCTCCCTCTTGAGGTGCATATTTAGAGAACCCAAAGTCTGCCACCTTGCCACACATGCTTTGATCAAGAAGAATATTGCTTGATTTCACATCCCGATGAATGATACATCGTCCAGGGTAAGTGTGCAAATACAATAAACCTGAAAAGTACACAGCATATGATTATAAAACGGAATATGATATTGAGCAAACTATCACAAGCTTCATTTCCAGCCATCATTATCATTATCACGATTGTCACATCATCACTATTAGTCTCCTGACAATTAATGTGGGTTGGCTTTTCTAAGAGTACAAATTTAACATGCATGGGGGCTAATGATGCAACTTGGTTGATATAAGGAATATGGATTTACACATATAAAGTAGATATCATAGATAAAAAGCTACCAAACATGCAAAAACTCGCTTTTTAGATGCAAACTAGCAAATACTTGATTAGAAGCCAAACATCTATAAAATGATCAAATAAATCTACAAATATATCAATGAAAAATTCAAACCATGTAGAATCAACAAGCAATTAAAATTTATTTATCATAGTTAGAATCTTAACTATATCAATTTTAACAAAATAAAAAATGCTAGCAAGCTCAGAAAATGATATTTAGAAAATTAAATATATGAAAGAAAGAATTCACCATGGTAAAAGAATTCTAGGCGGCACATCAGTCCAAGGAGATGAATTCCCCCAAAATAGGGGATTGACACAAATATGCGGTCAAAGTAATCACAAAACCATTTTTCATTCACAAAATTGACAATAGTGTTAAAAAATTCTCCAAAAATATTGATACCTGAGGAAAAAGACCCAATCCACCACGAAAAAATATAATTATTATTATTGAATTCAAAATGATACAAACAAGATTTTGCAACAAGAAATCACGACAACAAACAGTAACACAAGCATAAAGACACAACACAGAGACTCCAATAAGGGTGATGGCAGTAGGTGGGGATGTTGGCTGCATGAGGGACAGGGGACTAGGGTGACTGGTAGGGAAACAGGGGAAGGAACAACAGGTTTGACTGAAGCGAAGGGAAGCAGCATGTAGACGACTGCTGGAAGGCGTAGGGGTCCACTGGCGGGATGCTGGAGGTGAGTCGGAGGGGAACAACAAGTTGCCAGCCTGCGAGAAGGTGTGAAGAAGGGCCGGAGGCTAGCTTAAGGTGAGCCAGAGGGAGGGCAGCAAGCTGGCGACTGCTGAATTGAGTGAGAGAGGGGATTGTGGAAAGATAAATGTCTAGTCGGGTCGAACTATAGCCGAAGCACCACCCGGACATTTAGAGACGGTCACCACCTCGGACGAGTTACAGCCGGAGCACCTTCTCGCCGTTGGATACAACCTCTGAAGTGGAAGAACACCTCCAAGGTAGTAGCTGAAATCAACAATCATCCAAAAACTTTTTCTTCTAACCTCAAAAAACAACACTAATATAAAGAGGGGATTAGAAGATAAAATAGGTAAAGACTAAAGAGTGGGATAGGAAAGAGATATAATAGACAATGAGAAGAATAGGAAAGAAGTAGAGAAGGAAAGGAATTATAATGGAAAGCATCAAAAAATGAAAGGAAGGGGATAAAATAAGAAAAGGGACCGCGGTTACTGTAACAACTATAGTAAAGCATCTGCGGTATTGTAGCCGCTATTGTACTGCAGGTAATAAGCTTTTTATCCACCCAAAAAAAAAAAGGACATATCTCTAGCAACAAACCCATAAGTGCATCTTGTCCAACCCATGCATAACAAATCACACCTCACATGCAAAATAAGTGACAAAAAAATCATCAGTCAGCCATTTGATAATAAGGCAATACCAAAAAATATCACAACAACAATGATAAAGAACCTCAACTAGCAATTAGCCACAGGAAACACATAATAATCCACAACAACACACAACACACAAAAGCCGATGCTCAAGAGGGGAATCTGTAAAATAACATGCTTCACGCCACCAAGCAAAGGGGATGACTGCACTGCCCAAGCCAAGTTAAAAAAGTACAAGTCCAAACTAGAAGAGCCAAAATCTGATTTGTTTACTAGTCCGAGCCACAACAGCCACTCCATGTGATCAGAACATAAAATGTAAAACGTAGAATAGCAAACCACAAGCAACCAGAAACTCCTCCATCAAGAAGATCCAGCTTATTTTGTAGTCCAAGTGTCCAACATTAGGGTCAAATACAAATCTATTGTTGGACGCACAATTGTGAAGAGAATATGGTAAAATGCTTCTCAATGGATTTGAAATCACCATTCATAACGACTAGCTTATTAGACATAAGAAAGCAGGGAATTTTTTTTTCCTATCAATGGTTTAGAATTCTGCTTAAAGCTTAAATATTTGCAGCAATACATAGGAATGAAGCAAAGATTACCGAATTTCACCCATTATGTCTCGTCAAGCTTAGCTATGACGTTTAAATAAAAAATTTAGGGAGACTGCACTAAAAAGGTGAAAAAACAGGTTAACAAAATCATATAATAGCAAAAGTTAAAGGAGCCTTGCCCCAAAATTTTCTTTCAAAATGCTTTGTTTATTAACTATCCATATCCAGCAGGTTCAAAGCATAGATAAATTTTAAATTAAGCTAAATTAAAGCTTATCTTCACCAAGAAACAAACTAATATTTATCTAAGAAATTCAATCTGTTGGTTCTTCAATGTGCGCTAAATAACTAAACAGTCCACCTTTTCAAAGTTTTATTGTGTCATTTTAAGGATGACCTAAATCTTGCATTCATTCAGTGAGACAAACTAGTTTCCACAATATCGGTTTTTCTTGGAAATGAAGCTGTCAAGTAAGCAGACACATAATGCCTGAGGGGACTCGTAAAAACACACCTGCCTAGTAAGGGGTTTTATTTGTCTCATGCAATAAATTATTAGAATAATTTTTACAACTGGAACCTGTCATTTTTCAAATAAACTAGAATATTGTGTGCTTACAACTGACAAGATATCAAGCTTATGTATGAAAATATTTAAATAGGAATTTGCTTGCCTCTAGCAGCACCAAGTGCAATGGAAAGTCGTGTTGGCCAGTCCAGAACCTTTCTTTTTGATGCCTCCCCTGCAAGTACACTGAATTAAACATAGAAGTAAAGGAATGAATGGTTGATCAGATGGTGATTGGTTCAAAGATAAGTACCATACAGTCGTTCTTGTAAGGAACCATTAGACATGTAGGGGTATACTAGAATTTGTTGATCATTTTCACAGCAGTAACCAAGGAGTGGTACCAAATTATCATGTTGAAGTTTTGAAAGAAGGTTTACCTGGAAAACAGATGTTCGTTAACAAATCAAACAAAAAAGATCCTTGATTCTTTTGATATCTGATCCGGAAAAGATGATTGAGCACTTTATGAAATGGGAACATCATTTTACAAGGAAGTCAATAAATGTTCATTATTACAAACAAAAATGTAATTACAGTTCTGGACGCTTCGTTAAAGTAGTGACTAACAAGCAATAGGTTATAAACGTAAGTTTGATCATAACTTGAAAGACAGAAGGGATGTTTAAATACATGAAACTGAAAATTTTCATTTCTACCAATTTCCCTCTTAACTTTATATACATAAATGACATTATGGATATTCAGGTTTTTTGTTTACTTTATCACCTGGTGGTTTTTTTATGGTAACAGTTCCATCTCAAAAAGTATAACATATAAGGGTGCCATATATGCAAATGATTAAATGAACTAAACAGGTGAAGTAAATTTTGAAGCATAATGAATCTGAATATCCAAAACAAAAAAAAGATTTATAAACATTTTTTTAGAATTAGCACGGATGAGAAAAATGCAGTAAATTTACCTCATTATCAAACTCACGTGTACCCTGAACTGATGTGGCTGATCTAACTTTTACAGCAACTTCTTGACCATAAGGCAGTGTGCCACGGTAAACTATCCCAAATCCACCTTCACCAATCAAGGTCTGATAACCTGATGTTGCTTTTTTGATATACTCAAGTGTGAAGGTTTTTACATCGGGATTCTTTAAAGGGTAATGGATGCTCTGATCTGCAAACCCTTGACCTGGATATTTAAGTCAAACACAGATAAATCCAGAGAACTAAAAAAGCAACTGGGTATATTTAAAGAACACACACACACACACACACACACACACACATATATATACATTTCAAACTTTGTTATTATTAGAGAGTGAAACAAAGAGGGGTAAAACCCAATTTCAAAAGAAAAATTTAAGCCTAGAGGTGGGGCAACAACTTAGTATTTCTACATCAACATATTTTCGCTTAGATAATATGAATTTAAACCCAATGATCTTATCAACTTTAACGAATCTCATAATCATATGACAGTTTTCCACATATACCATCACTTGCCTTCAAATATAAGTTTCTTAGCACATCGAGTGTTGTATATCAAGGGCCTACTCAACCACATTTGTTAACATTGGAATATAGAACCATGCAGATTAGATTGGTGAAGTTGATAGGTAAGACCTATTTGAGGAGAGGCAAGTCAATGGAATAAAGAAGATGAGAGGGAGAACAAAATTCTTTTTCAAGTTATAGCGTGAGAATCCTAGTTTATATTATGAAGTGTAAGGATCCAATCCCTTTCATGAGTTTTTATAAGCATCATCCAAGATGACCTCCTACACAGAAGAAACAAAACTTTATTGTCTTTGAAATCCTTAGGTGATTGTCTTTCCATTTGCTGGTTGAAGTGTTGGGATATATAATAAATGTTTTAAATTTAAAGTTATTTTAATATGATGTGTGATCTCCTCATTAATATAAATTTTAGATTGAGATTTGAATTGGGCTGTTTATGGTAACGGGGACATCAAATATATTATATATAATTTTGAGAGATTTAGAAGATCCAAAGGTATTCAGTCTGTGCTGACGTTTAGTTTTCAAAAACTTATTTTCTCCGATCTATAAATTGACCCTTTGCCATCATCAAATTGAATCAATTGAGACAGTGAGACCTTTCAATAACCAAGTAAGAGATGATGGAATATAATAACTAAAAAGTGTAAGTGATATAATATTGATAGTGCAATTGTGATCCAGAGCAAACATAAAAATGAGGGAATTTACTGCGAGAAAGTTGGTACCATGGATTTGATTGTGGTACTAAAAGTGAACAAGGGTTTCAAGTTATTACAAGGAGATTAAAAATCGATGACAATATTCGATGAAATAGAGTTGAAAAATGAAAAATTGTCTGAAATCATTAAGAATGAATAATGCATGAAGGGTTGTGGAACATAAGCACACACTAGCAAGTGAACGAGGTCAATATTTGCAGCAAGTGAGTAGAATGCATCACATGCACGGGTGAGGTTGCAAACTATTGCAAGCATGGGGGTAGGATTCATTCAAAGTGGGCAAATTTGGATCTTGTAGGGGCAAGGGGCAGTGGGCTCACATCTGAGGCACCACAAGGAAGAACAACAGAGTAGTGCTCAAGAGTCGATAAAAAAGAGAAAGGGGAAAGGGTGGGGGTAGCAGCTAGCGTCAAGTTAACACTTTTAAGATACTATTAAGGGAACCAAATATGATGTTATGAACATCAAAATAAACATAGACCAAAAATAAATTGAAAACTTTCATAAGATGATGATCATTCTGATAGAGAAGTTATACTCTTGATTCCTGGGTAACTACTTTTCGAAGTTCGACGAGGACGCTTGTAAAAGCAGCTGAAAAAAATGCCCAGTGCAAATGTAGCTGCAACAGATCCTCCAGCAACACTGCCTATGACATCAATATTACTTTTCGTTGGGGATGGAGCATCACATTGTCCAGAACTGGAAGGAAAAATAACAATAAACATAAATCATTGATAAAGAAGGCTTTCAGCCAGCACTGTACAGATATAAGAAAACACTTCATAACATACATACATAACACTAAGATTCTTTCGAGTTGACAAGCTGGGTGGTATTGTGTAATTGAGCTGAGGGTTGCATTGTATGGATCTAGAAACAGACAATAAACATGTCAAAATGGGAAACATTCAGCTACCAAGACCGATAGTGTAGCTGAACGCAAGTCTTTCACGCCATTTACAAAACTATTGAACCAAGGAAAACTTGTAAGGAAAGAAAAGTTCCAAGCATACAGTTTTGAAAAGTTAAGGAGAGCAACAAGTGAATCAGGGATAGATCCATGGAAGTCATTATACTGCACATCCCTGCAAATAAAAATTTCAGGATGATTCAAAGTTAACTTCACAAAATCCAATGAAAACAAATTCAGGATGTGTGAAATAAGTAAAACATACAGTTCCTTGAGTTCTGTCATATCTCCAATCACAGAAGGAAATGGTCCTCGCAGATGGCTTGATGAAAGATCTCTGAGTTAATTATGCAAATTTTTAATCCTTCAACATTGGGAGATAATTCAACTAAATAAAAAGCACAGAACAGTAAAAAAATGGGACTAAAAACCAGAAGCGAAAGCAAAAACTAAATGAAGAAAATGGTAGCATAGAACAACATGAATATGGCGACAAAAAGAAGACAGAGTTGATAATAAAATAATTTGAAGCATCTTAAGGCTCACTTTGGCCATTGGGTACAATCCATGAACACATGGGCATGGGACTATTGTGTTCCTGACAACACAACCAACCCACTATCTCGGACATAGTCTCTTCTTTTGGCCACACCCCAACACATTGAACTAAAGAATATAGCAGTAACACCATATTGACAACTACATGTAAGTCCACAACACCAGTGGGCCAAACAGGCCTATGCATTACTGAGTTCATAAACTTAGTTTTTATAAGTGAAAGCAAAACAGAAATACCAGCTTATTAATAATAAAATACGCTTACAGCTTAATGATGACAAAGGACCCATTCATCTCTTCACAAGCTAGACCATTCCATATGTAAGGAGTGCATGGGTCCCCATGCCACTTCCCAAAGATATCGTGTTTAGGATTTTCTTCCATCAGCTCATCCTTCAGTTTCATGACAGCATTTACTGAAAAAAATTGTAATAGAGAGTTAATCAGTTGATTTGGAAGACAATAAAAAGGTCCAACATTAAAAGCATAAGGTTATATTCTATTGCTTCAGTTTAAGAAATACAATCTTACAAATGTGCAGAATTCATTATTGTCAATCCATACATGGCTTCACCTATGAAATTTACTAGTATTCCTGATGCAGCATGGAGAAGAAAGCAAATAGCAAAACAAGAAAGAAATCTAGTCATTTTACTCCTACTCGTCCCTGAAGAAAATGTATTATGTAGATTTTATGTGCATCTTTGCACAGATATGAATACACGTGCATAAGAACTACATATCTACTCAAGTTCTACGAATGTTTATGCATTATAAGTAAACAGAGCATTAAAGTACTCATAGAACACATTAATGGGAATTAAAGGAAAAAGGGTTTACATCCATATCAATAAAATATCTAGCACTTCTACAAATATCATGAAAAACTCTCTTACACATCTAATGTTTAAATTATCTATTTTCCTATATAACTTTTGTTTGCATCCATTGTTGATTGTCCCGAGGCATACCTGCTAATGCCCATGGAGATGGTGTCAGTGGTAATGATGAGGAAGAAGGGGGTGGTGACACTGGATAAACTGGGGATGGTGAGGTCATTAGATACATCAATGATGATGTCTCTGGCATTGAAATACTTAAAATAATAGAACAAAAGCTTTGCCAATAAATTCAAAAGAAGATGGAGAAATTTAGTTATGAGCTTGTGGAAAGGCTAATCAAACCAAGCGTGAGCATACTTTTGAATTCTAACTCCCCAAGAATGGTGATAAATATTTTCGATGAATGGTGGTCTTTGGCAGTTGAAAGTTCACTGAAGAAGTTTTTTGTTCATCATAATGACAGGAATTTCACCACTAGCAAAATCGTTCGTGATATCATCAGAGACAGACTCACCATTTCCTGCAACCTCGTTGCTTGCATATCTAGTTTTTCCACCCCCTAATCCCTCATCCTTATCATCGACCTTGCAAAGGTCTCCATCAGTTCTAGCTCTATTGGCCTCAATGCCTTCAAACAATCAACAAAGGATGGAAACAGAGATTTATTGTTTTGTTGTGATAAAAGATTTTGGTGATATTTAGGTCTGTAGAATAGTTTATATGCTAGAAAAGTAGATGGTAGAGATTTTAGTCGTATGTATGTAAATACCCCTAACGGGAATTAGGTTGTGGATTGACATAATTATTAGCAAGCATACATTGGCGTGCATAAATTCATAACACAGTGACATAATAGATTACGAAGTACAGTATCTTTAGAATTGTTGTAAAAAATCCAGTCCTTGCTAGGTAATCACTTGATGCAGGACAAGTAAAAGTGAAACATGTAGTGCAAATTATGGTAATGATGTTAAATACTTCAAAAAAATTTGTATAAGTGATTGCAGGTATTGTTCCCACAAGAGTTTAATATTCCAATCTGTTGAGAAAATTAGGGCGAAGAAAAATAATAATTGACACAAATTCAGAAGAACACGCAGAGATTTACGAGGTTCGGCAAAGATGCCTACATTCTTAGAGCGGCGAATTCCTTTTTAATATTCAGAGAAGAGTACAGAATACAAGATTCGGCTCTCAGACTCACCTAAGGTTACAAACAAGATATATATATATAACCCTCGCAACCCTCGTTCGTCTTGTTCGCCCCGAACCGCACGCGAACTGGCCGAGATTTTGAACCTTCGCGAGCGACCTCGTCCAGACCGCAGACCCCTTCGAACCTCCTGTCGCCTTCGCAGAACCGATCACCTGGTCTTCTGCTTCGCAAAACTGTTTTTCGTCACGCGATCGCGTGAAGCCGGAGTTCTGATCGCTAATCCGCCGAACCGTCGAAGCCTGCTTCGTCTTCGAAATTTCTCTGCGCCAGATCTTGGAAGCTTGCAGAAATTCTTCCCTAGCCGCTAATCTCCTCTGCCAAAATCTTCTTTATTCCTGCACCGCTGAAATTTTTTTTACCTGCCCTCGAACCAGACTCTGATACCACTTGTTGAGAAATTAGGGCGAAGAGAAACAGAAATCGACACAAATCCAAAAGAACACACAGAGATTTACGAGGTTCGACAAAGATACCTACATCCTCGGGTTGCAGGGGCAATGCCCCGTGGTTTGGTATACGGGTAATTTAAGTAATTACATATTGTACTATAGGGTTATATATATGTCCTATTTGTAATCATAGGTGAGCCTGAGATTCTGAATCTTGTATTTTGTACTTTTTTTTGAATATTGAAAAGAAAGTCGCCGCTCTGCTCCCGATGATGTAGGCATCTTTGTCGAACGTCGTAAATCTCTATGTGTTCTTCTGAATTTGTGTCGATTCTTGTTTTTCTACGCCCTAATTTCTCAACACAATCTATTAAGTTCTAATAGATGCTGATAGGTCCTTAAATTACCACTCTAGGAATTATTTTCATCAAATACATGCATGATTTTGGATACCATGATCAATTAAACAAGGAAAAACCAAATAACAACATCAAGTACACACAGCATACCATCTCTTTGAATCGTTTCAGTACTTCTTTGGAGTATCTGGTAGATCTCGTAAGCATTGCATATCGGTCCATATTTAGCTTCATCCAGAGTTTTGACTAGAGCGATGTTGAGAAAACCATTTGTTTTCACCCTAAGGGGGATTGCTTTGTAGTTGGAAGTACTTTCATTTTCTAGTATATCAAAGCTTGCATACTTTTTATCACCATTTACATATATGTCAAAGACCCTTTGCCCAATTTGCACATTGGCATTGAGTTCAAGAAAATAAAGGATAATAAGAAATTCATTGTGGCCTGTTTGAAGATCCCTATGATGAAATACCAACTCTTCATCATCTGTTATAGCAGTCTGTAGAACTTCAATTGGAATGGATGCATTAGATCCATACAAAGATATATCATGTGATTCTAATATCTTGCCTTTTACAGAGCCTTTTTCTTCAAGATCAACAGGCCAGATGCGATCTGCAAGGTCCTTGGGAAACCTGTTCACCAGAAAGAAAAAAAAATGATGTATACATCAAGACTGCATAAGCTCTAATTGTAACGTTATTATATGCATGTGCTAGCAGAGCCAGAATATAAGATAAAGCTAAAAAGACATGGTACCTATAACTGAGATTCTTATTTCCAAGATCGACTCGAGTAACCAATTTCAGAGCAGCTGACGGACTATCGTGAAGGTAAATAGCTTCGTTTAATGGCCTCAATTCTAACGTGGATATATAAGCATTACGTGTCTCACTAAAAAGGCAGAAGTTTGTGTGGTCATTAGTGGCCACAAAGACACCTTCAACCTTGAAATGTTCTATAGATGAATCAATCTGGGAGATTGATGTGGTTCCAACTGAAAAATTAAAGGGGGCTGCAGTAAAAGATTCGGGAATAGGGCCACGTAGAAATGTAGCCCTCACTAGGTAGCCCTGGCCTTTCAGTACAGGAAGATAATAGCAGAAATTGTTTGAATCAGCCTCATCAAAGAAACGGGTTTGTGTATGGTTAGAAGTTCTAGATGAAACAGAGAAGTGCTCGCATCGTCCAACGCTATGAAAAAGATGGTCATCTGATGTCCATGTTATGTTGGTCCCTTGATCAGTAAAATTTGATGCCGAACAACACTGAATGCTAACAAAACCTGCAGATGAAATAAAACAGCATTATAATGATACAATAGTATTTACAGGAGTAAACTTTTACAGCAAACAACTTCACATATATGATCGCATGAGCAAGGAAAAAAAAAGAACAAAGAGAGACCAGAAATGGCAAAAGCTGTATGACAACTGAATCAAAAGCAGCTTACTTTTAATTTGATAAACTTTAGAAAAATCTTTTGTGAGCGAGTGTGAATTGAAGGGGGGCGAAGTTGGGTAATATACACGAGCATTCAATCAAAACACTTTCAACCCAAAAGCTTAAGCCAATGGGAAGGGCCAGCTACTTGATATTTCTACTAGAGCTGTAAAGGAACCAATGCACTCAATGAACTACTAGAACACAACTCGATTAGGTAAAATTTGTTCAATTGAGTAAATAAAAAAATTGAATACTTCTAAAAAACATAATGGTTAAATGAACCAAATCTAAACATTGTCCTATTCATTATTTATGTTCACAAATATATTCATTTATTGTTTAACAACTAACTTTTTAATTGTTTATTTAAATAAAATTTGATTAATTAAATTTATTTATTTATATATTAGAAAACTTACATACCTCACAATTTTTATGTGTTTACATATCTCACACATAAAGTTTCATATTTACATTTATAACACTTGAAAGTGAGAATCACATAAAATGTATACAAGAAAATGTCTCTTTAGTTAAAAAAAACTATAAAAATGGTACTTTTGATGCGATGTTAATGATTCAAGTGTTATGTATGTATCTAGTTTTGGTGTTAGACATGTAAATACACAAAAACTATATGGTATGTATGTAAATCCCCCTTAAATACTTAATAGTAACATATTTAATATCAATATGCGTATAATTTAATGCAATTTCTTATTTTTTTTATTTTAATGAAATAGTTTATTAGTAATTATTTATATTGTTTAATGCAAGAAAGTTTATTTGTAACTCATATATGATCTTATTTAACTGGGTTAGGTAGTTAGATATTAATTGAAATTTACCTAACTGCGTCTTTATTTGGATATGTAAAATCATTTGTTAATAATTGAAAATAAAAAATCAAGTCCTCATTTGAAGTTTTAATATGTTTATTACCTCGTCCTCGAACAACCATTCAGGCAAATGAATTCACTCAAAATTATAGGAGAACAGAGTCTAATAGAAATATTATGGATAACTAATGGTGGCCTACTTAATGAGATTACTTGCAATCCATTTTTTTTAAAATTTAGATGACGAAATTTTTGTAAGTGGGGAATATTGCAACAGCTGGTTTCAGACACGGGGAGAGGAAACGAAGGGAGCAGAGAGGAATCAAAGAGTTGAGCAGGCGGAAGAGGAAATGAAGAATTGAGGAAGAGGAAAGAAAGGAACGAGAAAATAAAGGAATGGAGGAGAAGAAGCGAGAAGAGTTGGGACGCTAAGGAGGTGAAAATCGCCAATAAAGAGTAGCCAACGACATGCTTGAGAGTTGACGAGGGAAGCAGATAACTTTTGTGATCTCGTGGCTGAGGTGATTGCTGCTAGGGTCAAGAGAAGGGGGTGTAAAGAGCTCGTGCGGGAGAGGATCCTTGTGATCCGTATTTTTCTCGATCTTGGTCGACCAAGCTGAAGGAGAAGAAAGAATGGAAGAAGGCGCAGCGACGGTTCATGCGAGGAGCCGAGTGCAATGGAGAGAATTAGCGTGCGAAGGAAGAAGAAGGCATAGGGGTGATGGGCTGGCTAGAGCTCTTTCCCGCAGAACTTCTTTCGTGTGTTAGGGGTCGGTCGAAGATGAAGGAAGTACATTTATTCAAAAATAAAATTATCTATATATATATATTGAAAAAAAAAATTGAATATGATTGTAGTTTACGTGAATATGTTTATAAATCATATTGTTTATTCTCAAATATGTTTGTACGTTTCGAAATTTGTGTTTTAATCTGAATGAAATATTATTTTTTCTATTTATCATATCTTTATGGATAATTTAGCTACTTACTCATGTTGACTGTTTATATGTGTATGACTGAATATGATGAGACACTCTTTGCTGACACTAGTGAGAGAATACTAATGTAATCGTGCACGTAAATGAAAAAGGATATTGATATTGAATTAACACAATTTTTAAACGGTACATTATGTGCTGGTCGTATAGATATGATAATGATATAAACCCCTTTGAATAGCATATTAAGTGTTTACCTTAACTGACATTCGTATTATTTTTTTCCTTGTATTGTTGTAGTTTAAAAATATGAGTATTAACTGACTTGTTTAACTCACTCTTGTTTCAACTAACTTTTCAAGTTTAATTAAATTATTAAAATATGAGCGATATACAAGAAAAAGTTTATGGACTACAGGAACAACAAGTAATGAGGTAATTTTAAATTGTATCGCTTTAACTTAATTTGTAGAGGCTCTTTCATCTATTAAATTAACATAAAAAATTTATTTCACCATCGAATTGTTCGTTCCCGCCTTAGTTGATTCCAAGTCCCGGGCTGGATCGTGATATCGAAGATGGAGAGATAGACAGGTAAGCAAGCAATCAACTTAAATTTAACTTTATTTTTCAAATATGATTCATATATAATAGTTATTGACAGTTGTTAGGTCAATTCTTAATTATAAAACAATATAAAACAGAGAGGCCAAAATTTTAGAGTGAAGATTGACTTGTCGAGTTTTAATGGATGTTTTGATTTGAATGAATTCATTGAGTGGCCAAAAATACTGGAACAATTTTTTCAGTACAAATACATATGAATGCTTCTTTGTGATGAGAGAACCTGAAGTGTTTTCGATAGTGGGAAAAAAAAAATAAGATCATCACTGAGATGAAAATAGAGATGCAACATAAATACATTATCTCACATTACAAACATGACATGCTCCTAAATCTCCACAAAATAACCTAAAGAATCCTCCAAATGGCGTACTTTGCATTTCACACTAGAGTAAGAAAAAAAAAAGCCTCTCTCTTCTATGATTTTTAGCATTTTATCTCTCTAATCTTGATGTGTATAAGAAGTGGCATTGACAGCTTGATCAATGGTAGAGATTGATGTCGAAGCGGTTACATCACACGTAATCTATCAAGATACAGCTCTGCCCCATGAAAGAAACGACTATAGCTCGCTGATTAGGAAAAAAAAATAGAGAATAATCTTTACAATGAAATAAAACAAAAGCCAAAGTTCTAAACCAGGTCCAGAATAATCAAAATATCAGCGGTAAAAAATAATTAATTGCTCTAGATGGGGCTAGCCTGCTCAAGGGGGAGGAAAACTGATACAGGAGGTAATTCTAACTCACAACGAAAACACAAATATTATTTCTGAATTCCAAATATATTACAAACACAATACGGGAAAAAGAGGAAATAGAAGACAAACAAACATGACAACATAAACAATAAAAGACGTCTGTGGGGGATGACACAGACAAAGGCTGCAGTTGTAGGGAGGTGACAGGAGGGATGGGAAGCTACTGGAACAACAAGACAATTTGGGGCGGTAGTTCAAACAACAACAGTTTAATGCTTAGTTGTTGGACAACAGGAAAAAAGCAAAACGAAGGTGTTGCGTGCTGCGACAGCGAAGGTGGAGGGTTGGGATAGTCAAGGCAGCGAGTATGAGGGAGGATAAGGCGAAGGCGGCTGGAACTGCAGAAAACTATAGATCCTTGTTGTTTTGGGCGGTGGCAGCAAGTTTGGAGGCCTAAAACTGTTGGAATACTGCAATCCCTTGTTGTTTTGGACGACAACAAGATAAGGTGAAGAGGAGCGATGCGGGAAGCACGGAGAATGGTTGTAAAAGGATAGTCGCCACATCGGAGAAAGGTACAACTAGAGCACCACCTAATCTCTCGGATACAACACTCGAAGGGAAAACTCTAGGATAAAACTAAATTTAGATATCGAAACAACACACTTCACTCTAAGCACATCATCTCCTATTTATAATAAAGCTAGACTTATTTTAGAAAATGAAAATACGAATGGAGAATAAAAAAAATAAGCAAGTTTTTAGATTTTAGGGAAGTATTTAAAATCAGAAAGGAGAATAAAATATAATAATGATTTTAGAATTTTAGAAAAGAATTTAAAATAAGAAAGGACAATAAATAAAATTAGATTTTCAGATTTTAGTAAATAATTTAAAATAGGAAAGTGCTAGGAAGAAAAGAAAGGAAAGGGAGGAAAAGAGAGGAAAGGGAGGGAAATGAAAGGAGGGAAGAGGAAGGAGGAAAAGGAAAGGAAGGGGAAGCATGGGCGACAGCCCCTCCTGAGGACTGGCCCCCATAGCCCCGCATCAATCTCTTAGGATTGGGGGAGCTTCGACCTCGTTCGTCGAAGCTTTTTGTTCCTTGTTTCTAGCTCTGGTAACACCCCGATCCACATGTCATGAAATTAAGTGCTCTGGTAGGTAAATCATGTCGGTGTTGTTAATTCACTACACATTTTGGAAGAATAAGTAGCCACTCCTTTTAGTACATCCAGAGCAAGAGCTGCATATAGAGAAGGGTTCTCGCAATGCAAATCTCGAGCTCTTACATTTGAAATCCACTTTTTCCACTTCTCGTGCTTAGCGTGTGATGGTTGTGTAAAAAGATTGCGACGAGAATTCAAATCGGGGATGAAATCGGTGGCAGGCTATGCCACTCTCACTGACGGCCACTCAGGAGAGACATCTTCTTCAGTGACAGGACCTAGATCCCGTTCTAGAATTTTCATCCCCCTCAAGTAGGGTTGTAAATCAGCCGAGCTTGAGCGAGCTTAGGCTTGGTTCATGTTTGGCTTGTTCAAAATTATTTGTGTTTGAAATTGGCTCTTGTTCGAAATTAGCTAGTTAACAATGTGTTCATATTCAACTAGATTTAAATATTTTTGTTCGTGTTCGATTCGTGTTAGGCTCAAAATTGGCTCATTAAGATTAATTTGAGAAAAAATATGTTGAGTGTTGGACTCGAACCTGAATCAAATTCATGCAAAAGTAGACGCAAAACTACATTACCACATGAGTTGTTATGATTTAAACTTAGATATATATAGATATATATATATAATATCATTATATAAATTACATAATATATTATTATATAAATAATTACATGATTTACTTTTTTTTATTTCGAGCTAAAACGAGCTGAACACGGGCAAACAAAGAGTTGTTTGAGTTCAGCTCGTTTATAATTCGAGCTTAAAAAATTTGTTCGTGTTCGACTCGTTTGCTTAACGAACGAGCCAAACACGAGCTACTTAATGAGTCAAATGCGAGTTGTTCGCAAACAATGATCTTTTTTGACAACCTTACCCTCAAGCTCCTAGGGCACATTTCAAAACTGATGAGGTCCATCTATCCTGTTTGGTCATCTGACGATGGGTACTATGCAGAACAAGAAATAACCTCTGAATAACTCCACGTGATATTCCCGACATGGCCCAAAAAGACTCCTTTTCGAACATGTTGGACCTTCCTCCATAAGGGTAACTAAGGAGGGGGTCTATAAATCTTAAATATCTGCATTTCACTTATTTGTAGTAACCGTGTGTATGTTAGCTCCTCAAACTCATAACCCTTATAGACATCCAAGATTGGTCCTGCTGATGTTCCTCTCAAAGTATGAAAAATGCTGACTAGATCATAATCTCAGGCTCTTGTGGGCTGCCTATTACCTCAGAGTTACTATCTTCTAAAGCAGCGTTTGTTACCTCAACTAGAATCTCTATCTCGGGCCAACTGGAATTGGCGGTGTCTCTTCCTCGTTGGCTGAAAAATGTGAATCCTCTTAGAAGTTTGTATTTTCTTCCTTATCACCATTCATAACTTTAACTGGAAGTGGGTTCTCTTCATTTATGTCATCACTGTCTTTATTGCTTGCATTATATTTACCCAACTTTTCAAAGACGTCCTGTTTGGTGAAGTAGATCACTCTACTGATTGTGCATTCTGCCTCAACATGTCCAAATCCATGACACCTGTCACATTTTTTGGTTGTGATAGACTTGCGAATTTGTTTAACTTTATAGTAGCCAGGGGGTCGCTTGGTGTTGCGTTCTCTCCATGTCGGAAACTAGAGTTTGCAATTTTTGTGGTAGTAAGTTGGTAGAAACTAACACTATATTTCCCGCTTCATCTTCATATATTCTCGTTTCCCCCTTCGACCTTTCGGATCACGGACAAAGGGTAGCCTCCCATTAAAATTCATCTTCAATATTCGTAATCCACCTCCGAATTCGGTGGATCGCTCGTCGTATCTCCTCTCGGGTATGCTCAAGCATGTACCTCATTAGTGGCATGACTCAGGTTTAGGTTTGGGAGGTAAAATATGGTGCATGAGACTAATTAAAGGTGAATAAAATTTAATTTAGGATTGCTGATTTTCAAAATCAGCAAAAAGAATTTAGGATTTGGTTTTGGAATGGGTGGTTTAGCGCAGAAAAGAAAATTTTTCGGAGGGGGGATAAAGCGGACTCTAGAAAACCCTAGGAAAGAACTAGGGTTGAGCCAGCTCTGATACCAAATGATGTCGGAGGTAACCCAAACCACAACGGAAACAAAAATATTATTTCTAGATTCCAAACATATTACAAAAACGATACGGGAAAAGCAATAAATAGATGACAAACAAACAATAAAAGGCGTCGTAGGGGACGACGAGAACAGAGGCTGCTAGACTGTTGTTAGTGGCCGAGGAAAGAGGGTTGAGGCTGTAGGGAGGTGGCAGGTGGGATGGGCATCGTTGGAGCAACAAGAAAGCTTGGGGCG